AAAAAAAAAAAATAACATAAATAATATAATATTTAATGAAGGGAAGATTGGCCTCATGGGCTTATCCTCCATCCCCAAAAAATAAAATGCAAAATATAAAGCCAAAACTAAGGACTCTACACTAGTCTTCAAACCCAAACCAAGAAATTCCTGATAATAGGTTTCATCAGGAGACCTCTAGTTCCAGGTTATTTTTTTTTTAACAACTCACTGCAGTTTACTCCATCAGACCCATCCAAGCAATCCTTCCTGACGTCACACATCCATTGGACTGGTACACATTCACCACTTGCACACTGGTATTCATTTTTTAAGCATGATTCCCATCCAGGCTTCCTGTGCACTGAGCAGTTCATCTGAAATAAGATATTACTCCACAAGATAACCTCCATTCTCTTCACACAAAAAATCTAAAAGAAATTAAATATAAGCAAAATACTAAAGGGCAGCCAAAACCACAACCAAAACAATTTCAACTATGAAAAAAGGTCCAATAATAGAAATAAACCTAAGGATCCCAAGGTGCATAGCTCAGCAAGTGTATCCCAACCCAAAACCCAACCTATGCAGGGTCAAAAAGTAAGTAACCCATTTTTAAGGATTTTTGCACTGTGATTGAGAGTTGGTTTTTCACAATTTAGAGAATACAACCATGCAAAAGGAGGGACCAACCCTGATTTAGATGGCAAAAGCAAAATGTAAGAAATCAGAAGCAATTACACCTTAACCCTTTCAGTCCTGAATTTTGTTCTAGGCATGGAAAAAATGTCATTTACTTTTTGGGGTTCAACAAGGCTTACATAACATAAAAGTACTTTTAAAACAGTTTCCTCAAGTAAAATTAAATATTTATTTCAATAATTGAAATAAATCATAAAATCATGCTGTATTTCTGAACTACTTCCCACTATCTAGCTTGCAAAAAACTAAAAAGAATTGACTGGGAAAGGAAATGTCTAGGCTGAAATAAATATAAATGATGACACCGTTTTTGAAGTGCCACAGAAAATACAGCAGCTCTCTATTACTGTGAGCTGCTATCATCTTGACAACATGTGGTGAACTACAATAAACAGGGACTCAGAATCCTGCCATAGCCTCAAGGTCATGCATTCCTATGTAGCCCTATAACATATGCAAAGAAAATGTGGGACTCCTGAGCCCCACCAGGACTGAAAGGGTTAGGTCTGGTTGAAAGTGCCACTGTGAACAATTGATTGGCTCGACCAACCTTGCAATTGAAAGTCATGGTATAACACAATCCCATGAAAGAAGCAGAAAGAGGTGATGGCTTGGAATTCCCTCTTCAAATCACAAGCCATTCCCCTTTCTGTTTCTTTGGGAAATTTTCTAAGACACTACTGGGAACAAATCCTAAAAGAACTCAATTCCTTTATGGCTTGGTTTGTTGGAGGTTAGCTGCTCTCCTGAACTATGTCATATCCATTTTAATAGTACACCCTGCACTCGTTGCCATGTTGCAGCATGAGTATGAGCTTTCTCTTGCTAATGGTGTGTAATTGAGCAGTTATAATAAAGACTTAAGCTGGGGGTACAGTCACCCAACAGGCCTCCAGCCGTACTATATCCTTTCCTTCAAGCACTTTATTGTTTGAGTTCAATTTCTGGAAAAGTCATGGGTCTGTCTGGATCTGTCTACAATGAAGGTTTGAGCAGGAATATGCCGCTGATGAGGCTCTTGCAATTCTTTCAGATCCCAAGGGTTCCATTCCCTTCATTCATCTCAGTTTAAAATTTAAGTACCTTCCATTTTGGGATTGAGTAGTTTGGTTGACCAGCATTGGGATGAAACCGCTGATGAGGCTCTTGCAATTCTTTCAGATCCCAAGGGTTCCATTCCCTTCATTCATCTCAGTTTAAAATTTAAGTACCTTCCATTTTGGGATTGAGTAGTTTGGTTGACCAGCATTGGGATGAAGAATCACACCTTTCTAATTGCTATATATATAGGTCAATGAGCAGATATAACCACAGAAATCCTGGGAGTCCTCCAAAAAGTATCATCAAACTATTGTCAAATGCCAGGCAGAAGAAAATTTTGGAGGAAAGGATCTTGAAACTCTAGGCCAGATTATTTACACCATTTGACTGGCATTGTCAGGGGGGGGGCACAGCTGACCTAGAGTATTATCAGTGAGTTGAACCTTTCTGTGGTCACCCTAACATGCCAGGAATAATAAATAGAAGTGAGAAGTACTCCTTTCAAAGGCAATTCTAGCTTAAGCCTCTCTGTACAAGCCACCAATTGCCAATTATTGGCTCAAGTAGTCTCATGTCAAGGCTACCAAAACTGAAACAAGATCCTGTAGGAGTGTAGGTCAGTTGGCATATGCCCACATATAAGAATAAGGTTCCTCTCACTAGAGGCAATTTGAAAATTTCCATTTCTGTGCATGCTGAACTTTATAATTTTAAGGATTTCATAAGAATAATTTCACACTTCATGCTGCTGAAAGCAGCCAGTGCAAATTGTGCTGTGGAAGTGGATATGTTAACACTCAGAACAGCCAACTTCTATCCATTTGCCCTGGAGAAATGTAGCTAATGGGAGGAAGGGCAATTGGGAGTTAATGAACAATCTCACCACCCCCTCTCCCCCCAATAAAAATCCAAATGGATTGTAGTTTTTTACCAAGCTCATCATGATTAACTCCTACTAATTATGTTTCATTTATGAAAGAAAACCTAAATTGTAGTTTCAGGAATGCTGATTTCAATAATAAAAAATTATTTTTTTGAAAACTTGTGAATATTCTGCTTAGTGAACCCCAGGGGCACAATTTTGGGGCATTACATTTTTCCTGAAAACTTTTCACTCCAGAAAAATGGTCACATGTGACAGAAATCAGAAAAATTTTCTGCAAGTCATTCCCAGGGGACTACACCCAAAAAGTAGGATTTTTCTGAAGTCAGTACTTCAACAACTACTTGTGCACCAAGTTTCAGCTTTATACCATATATAGAACATAGAATTATCACTAGTCACTCACTCGCAATCTTCTATACATATTAGATGCTGATACTGTTGATCATTGTCAGTTAAGAAAAAAAAGGCCTCAAAAATGAGAAATAAAATGAATAAATAAATAAACTCAAGAAACACTGTTGGCCACTAACCTCATCTGTCCCATCTATACAATCCTTGAAGCCATCACAGACACGGCTTGATGGTATACACTTCTTGTCACTAGTGCAGAAGACCTGAAATCCAAAAAATGAGAGATATAACTACTTGGTGATTCTATTTTTGTGGATAAACCAATGGGGCCAGAAGAACTTACACTGCCATCAGGACAGACATAGGTTTCACATAGACTCTCATCACTACCATCACCACAGTCATCAACTGAATTGCAATACAGTTGCAGCGATATACAACGACCATTTTGACACCTAAATTCTTCATTGCCACAGCTAGTAGCATCTAATGATAGAAAAATCCTTTCTGTAAATAGGTCAAATATTCATTAACTTGAATATTGGTGTTGATAGAAGCAGCTTACTCTTACTGCAGCCTCTCTCATCAGAATCATCTCCAACACCACAATCGTGAGCACCATCACAGACCCAGGACTGTAGAATGCATGAGTGGGTAATGTTGCACTGAAAATGTCCTTCTCTGCATTTGCAATCTTTAATACCTTCATCACTTTTATCAGCACAATCTGGCTCTCCATCACAGACCCATTGTGCAGGTATGAAAATGTTATTCTTGCATTGAAAGAGACCTCTGCTATCCTGCATACCTGAAAGAAGACCTAAAAAGAGGAAAAGAAAATGATAATTCCTATGCCCCAAGTAAATGAAGCTTCAAACATGGAGGAAAAAGATCACACAATTAACCTTTTACTGATAGATTTTTAAATCCCAGATAAGTAAGGTGCAAAAAATTGTTCTACATTTAAACCAAGTTATTGTTGAACATGAGAAAAAATGTAATCTTCATTACTATTTGCACTAAAGATATGAAAGAAAAAGTATTTTTCATGACAAACACTGGTGAATATGGCAATACAGCATTATGATTCATTGAACTAGGAATACTTTTTTTTACCCCCAAAACAGGACTTTCGAATGATAAAGATTAATGCAGGGTTTGATAATGCAGGCTTCAACATTCAATAATGTTGTCTGCTCAGAATAATTTTCTAAATGAAAAAATAGCTTAAAAAATCTTCAAATAGCACAAAAACAGTTAACTTCTCTGCTACTTCCCAAGCAGTTCATGTCATGTAAATAAAAAAAGGCTAAAAGAAAGAAGAAAGAAGAAGGTTACTTTCCATTCATATTTTGTTGATTTAGCTAAGTGGTGAACAGTATTTTAACATAATGGTGCAACAAAATATCTGTCATGAAAGAATGCAGCAAACAATTTTATCAGTTCATGACTGATAGCAAAATGGTGTCCATTCCTCTAGCTCACTCACACCAGGCCAATGGAGAATATAAAAATTGATAAGTACTCTGATATGGGTCATTTCAACTCAAGTGTGGCAAAACTTGGCTGGCAAAAGGGCCATATTGAGAATTGCAATCAGTAACATTTTACACCTTCACTTCAAGTGGGGCCGAGATAGAGACCTTTTAAATTTTGTCCCAGGGTAAATATGGTCTCCAGTCCACAATAGCAACTTCCTTACTTTATGTCCTTGAAACTTGATTGAAAACTCATTTCAAAGAGATTATGCCCAATCAAAATAGGGTGGTGACATAATAACCATGTAATCAGGAATTTAGCATCAGGGGGGTTGGGGTGGGGGCCACTTTGAACCTTCATGACCAAATTGAAACTCATTTTTCTCTGCCTCCACTTGAAGTTTTTTGTCTGTTGGCTATTCTCAAAATAATCAGACCATTCACTAAGTTTAATTGAATTCTGAGATGGTTGAGCAAAGATCATTACTGCACTGAAGATGGAATGATCCACCTCTAAACGGGCATCGCACAACTTAGGCAGGGGTGCTGAAAAAAAACTGACATGCATCTCAATGCCTTGTAACTGTCTAATGTTAATCGCATAGCCAATGTATAACTTTTTTTGCATTTATGAAACTGTTTCTCCCATAAAAAATCAGTAGGGCATTTTCTTTTAATCACCCTATACATTTGACCTAAGGGTCACTCTTCCCACTAGGGACTAACTTTGGGTAGTAAGTAGCATATCTTAGGAATCATTTTGAAATATCCTCTGAGAATCTGTGATAAGTGCAGAGATTTGAAATTTTTTTCATAACTAAAGGAGGCCACTATGTCAGAGTTTATTCAAGCCAATTTCCTATTAGAGGTGCAACCACCTTTGGATAGCTTGAGCTGTGTCAAAAACCCAGACATGGTTAAGTTATTCCTCCCCATATGCATTTTTCAGTGCCTCAATAATTTCACTAGGAGATATGCTCAACTGTAGGAGAAACTTTGATGGAACAACTCTGCTTGAGCTTGAACTCTGAGATGCATAAGCTACAGCAACATTGATACTCCAAAACATTACCAAAATAATATCCAACTCAGTGGAGTGGTTCTTCGTCTCAAATTAAAGGAAGGACTTGGCAAATCAATGGCATGAATGACAATTTGTCTTCTGAGTTTTGATCAGTCACTTCCTAACTATCCTTAGAATTATAAGTGGTGGAAATCCTGATAGTTTTGTAACTCACCACAAGGTGTTGGGTCTTCATCAGATCCATCAAGGCAATCGATGTCACCATCACAAACATATGACATGGGGATGCAGCGTGCAACAGATCTACATGAGAATTTCCCTTCACAAGGATTTTCTTTGGTATAGGAATCATCAACAACGCAAAGGGGTTCATCACTTCCAAGCAAGTAACCATCATTGCAGTGGCATTTTGGTCCTTCAGGGGTAGGGAGACAGAGATGCTTGCAAGATGCATCACATGAGATGGCTGGTGAGGCTTTAGGAGAAGAAGAGGAAACATAATGAGCCAGGTTGCAAAAGACTAAACATGTTTGCCTCTTGAGGCACACAATGATCAATTGGATGCTCTAAAGCATCCAGTTGCTTTTACTTTTGTTAATGAACAAGTAGCAACTCCATGAAGTTTTGCAAGTGAGCCCATCAAAATCAAGAGTCTAGTAATTCCACATCACATTGCAGCTTAGTCATAAATTATCCAGGGCTTGATTCAAATGATCAAGCATCCATTAAATCACACACCAAAAAAAACATTATTCAGGAATAATAAACTTACCAGTGCCATTCTTGGATGAAAGGTCCAAAAACTGGTAGATTGATGCAAGGTGCCACTCACTTTCAAACACTGATTTAATGCTCCCATTTTCATGCAAGATCTGAACTTTTACAGTGGAGTCAGCATGGTCACTGATATTTGAAGTCAAGAAGTACAGTCGATCTCTGAGCCATATGAGATCAAGTACATACGATCCTTTCTCCAGTCGATGCAACTCCTCCTTCAAAGGAGAATCCAAAAATAATTGATAAGAAACAAAAAATGCAGCCCACATAAAATTTGTTGAGAAGTAGGAGTGTAAGTGACATGCAGCACACATACATTGGCTCATATGAAATGATTTTTTGCATGGATGGCACATTCTCACATCATTTAATCATAGGCATTTCTTACTATCTTGGCATGGTGATCCAAGATTCAGTGATCATCCAAATATCTCCTCCTGATCAGTATGATTTAAAAAAATCCTTACTTATATTGCCCCATCTCAATTTTTGCCTTTTTGCCTTTTTGCCTTCCCCCCCCCCCAAAAAAAGGCATCAAGCCTCATCTTAGGGCTATCCACAGAAGTGGCAGCCACTATAACACATCTCCATCTAACCCATACTCTGCAGTCACTACCAGACTTTCTACAACTGAAGTCAAACTTGAAGATTATGCATTATTCTGACACATTGCAATAATGTTGGAAAACCAACCAAGCTCCAATTTATCAAATCCTTTAGGAATTTAAAATGATTATTATACTGGAGATTTACAGCAAGTGCCAGCAAAGGAAACATGAAGGGGGATGACCCATATCCCAATCTTCACACTTAAATAGTTCAGGCCATTACCCATGCCAAAAATTGTCAGGCACTGGGGGACATCTAGGGTCTAGGCCAGATATAATTTTTCCTTGAGGTCCATCTGCATTTTGGTATCGAAAGTAGATCAGTACTTGACAACCCTAGAAGACACATCAGCTGAGTAAAACCAAGCTTAACAGTACCTCATTTGTGAAAACCAATAATTTTTTTGCATTAATAATTTTGGCTACAACTGGGAAAGAACATGCAAACATATAGCACATTAATGCATAATGTATAGAATCTGCAGCAGTGTTGAAAATACCTTGACAGAAGCATTGGCCAAATCCATCCTCTCAATAGTGAAGCTTGAATTCAATGTTCGAGTATAATACAGATGTCTTCTCTCAGCATCAATTGCCAGTTGATGGAAACTCTGCAACTCTAAGCTAGCAGTTCCTACATAGGTGTCCACATAAGTCAGCTGGGTCTTATGGCTGCCATCCATCCATGCTTCATATAGTGTGTTGTTAGTCACATCAATGAAGTACATATACCTAGAAAGAGGAACAGACATAGGCTTTTGTGCAGCTATGCAATCATATGATGTACATCCAAGCAGGATGATTCACCAGTTCCACCAAGAGCCAAAAGCAAAATCATACCCATGTAGATGATCCAAAACCAGCTCATAGCATCCTTTTGAAGAAGCTGTCAAAAGAGTTTTGTTGTTCCTGGAGTCATCCAAGCTAATCACAGAAATCCGGTCTGATGAACCATACGAGCTACTCCAATAAAGGTTCCGTCTCTGCCAGTCAATGGCAATTGCATATGAGGAATGATATAGCAACCTGGAGACTTTAGGTTGCTCAATGGTCAAATCTTGATGGTATTTGTCCCATGAATACCTTCAACATAAAATATTTTAGTAAATTTTCAGATCATTCACAAAATCAAATATGAACAGGAGCATTCCAGAATAGCTAGACAAGCCATAGGAAAACCAAAAATACTATAAATACCCTTAATCATTCTAGCATATCAGAAATATACTCAATAGATGCCAAGATCATTCACAAAATCAAATATGAACAGGAGCATTCCAGAATAGCTAGACAAGCCATAGGAAAACCAAAAATACTATAAATACCCTTAATCATTCTAGCATATCAGAAATATACTCAATAGATGCCTATGGAGATTTTACTATACAGAAATAAATGATCCCTCAAATTCTAATCAAGCCTCCTTTCCTCAAACTTGAACAAATACTATATATATTCAGGTCATTGTGGAAAAAGAGAATATGTTAGCCACTAAAACAGAAGTAAGGAAACCAATATAGTTGTCTGAAAGAAGAGTTTATCATATGATTGGACACCTATGGGATGACAGAGTGTATCTGTGAATGGATAGATCCATCCTTTCTCAATAAAATATTTAATTCTAATTGTATAGCAATGGGGAAATCAAAGCTTGAGGGGGTACAAGCCTCATTACCAGAAAGCATATACTAGAGCATAACTAGATTATTTCATCAGATTCTGCTGCTGCATTTTTACCTGTCAACATAATGAATGTATGATGTCATCCAATCATATGCAGCTGACAACATTGTATATGGAAGGCTGAATGCATCTTCAGGTCCACCATCCAAAGGTATGACTCTTGTAGATGCCACAACATCCGAAACCAGCAAGGCAATCTGTGTCATAATTTCTGAAGAAAAAGATAAAATAGGATATACAAGGAGTAACAATTAAGTTCCAGGACAGGACTGCATTTTTTATAAGCATGCTGGCATAGCTACAACATAACTAGGGAATAT